AAGAAATAAATATTTTTCAATCGTAATAAAACATTAATGATTACTCATAACAAAAAATAAGTTGTAAATAATGAATAAAATCATTGTCAAAGAAATCGTGTCCAAGAGAAAAGGCCCTTAAAACGCGTTAAAGCGTTTTCCTGCAATCGCGTGTCGCACTACGCTGCCAGGTTGAAAAGTTGTCAGAAGTAGGTGGGATCAGGGTGCGCTTATAATGCTCTTTCGCCCACACTTTCTAGTAAAATCGATCGTTTTAACAAACTGTGTTTCTCTAATATATCCTCCCTTGTACACATATTTTCTTATTTATTGGCCATAAATCTTTTTTTATATTAACTATACTAATTTGGTTGTAGTTTGCAATAGCAGTAGTAGATAAGTTCTTGAATAAAAATTCTTAGCAGACTTAACGATGTCGAAATTCAACTGACCCACATGGGGACACGAAATAGTAACTAGGGAGTTGCGAGTCATTTTAAGAAAGACACATTTTTACTTATATTATTTAACGTGAATTTAATTACAGGTCAATTGCAATATCAAAAATAATAGCATTATTAAAAATAATTTCAGAATTCTAAGAGCCATTGTAATCGCGTTCTGGTATATTTCCAATTTATAGCAGTGCACGAAGGTCCAATTTGACTTTGAGTAATAATACTGTCCAAACCAGATGAACTACATGACAAAACATGTATCAAATAAACAAGTATAAAACTATGTACAGTAAAATTCCCAGTTAATTGTCAACTATAAAAAAGTGTTTTTTTACTGTCACTCTAACAAAGGGGTAAAACCCCATATCCAGAATAAAACGGGACCGCCATGAGCACACATATCCAATGTATAATTTTTAATTTTAAAGAGGTTTTTCAAAATAATAGCTGCATTAATCGAACAATGCAAAATATAAACTTCATGGGTAATTTTTTTTTACAGAGATAACACTGTATTAAACCTTGATCTGTTAGATTTGTTAGAAATATTCATCAGCAGAGTTGAATAACTATTTATTTTATTTATTTATAGGTTCAATTGGTCCTAAACATAGAACAATTAAATAACGTAGACTTAAAAATTTTATTAAAGTCTCGTAAACTAAACAATATTACGAACAACCCGAAAAATAACAAAGAAAGAAAATTCTTTTGTTATGGATTTTCAAACATTGTCGTTTATCTTCCGTAAAAATCTAGACGTTGGCTTGTTATACAACTTCCGCCCTCCACTTTCAAATATTATTGTTAAACAATTTTGCTCGTTTGTTAAATACGGTGGTGAACTTCTTTACCCGTAAACCTTTAATGTCCGATCTACTATTTAAATTTATTTATGCCATAAATTTAATAACTTTGCATGATTTTCAAAAAAGTAAGACACTAAAAAGAATGTGACCTCAGAATTCAACTAAATAAACGACAATATTATTTTACAAAAAAAATTTCAATGGGGGTATGCTAAATACTTTTAACTATGGGGTGACAATAAATATATGAAAAAAAATGTTATATCCAAGCAAAATATAAATAAGATATCTCTTTTCTAACCCCTCAAATCCGCCTGATTCCTATATGATGCATTTTTATTATGTATCATTTGCTGCCGGATTTAAAAATGCATTAGTATAATGGAAACAAAAGAAATTCTTATAGGAATATGCAGAAACAAATTTCACGAAATTCACTTTAGTGATAATCGTTAACATTATATCTATAAGAATACAAAAATGCAGCAAAAGGTCACAATTTGGAAACATGAGAAAATAATTGGTATTTGAAATGTTAGATTGATATAACAAAATGTTTAGATATTTCCATTGTGTTTGTTTGTCACAATATAAAAATATATTACAAATTTCCAAAACGAGAAAAACGATAACTACGATATGCGTATGAAATTGCATGTTGATAAACTAATACTTCTAAGTTTGATATTTTATTAATCAAATTTTTCTAAAACAGTTCAAGAATCCATGCATTACGTTATAAAATGTTCTGCGTTCAAAGAATTAGAAATGAGTACACTGACGTGTTTACAATTCGTTTACATGTTGAATGAGCGCGCGGCTTCTTCATTAAACATTTATTTTACTACAGCCAAAGTTTTCACACTCTGTTTTGTGACTAAACTAAATAAATCTTCAGCCTATGAAATACTCTAGGACTGATTGAGTAGTGTGCGGGAAATTGGACAAAACATTCAACTAATACAAAACAAAAACTTACAAAAATAATATAGAGTGAAATAGACTTTTGTGATATTCTTCACTATTAATACTAATTGCTACAATGGTAATTTTCGGTAATGACTTGTGAAAATAGAAATTTACATCATTTTGAACTGTGCAGTTTTAGGCAACTTTATTGCAAGTTCGGTTAAGTTAAGAAAACTCATATAGAGTAGAGCGAGACTTAAAGGTCCGCGGGTTGAAAGGTCCACCACCGATCTCATAAACAAGTAAAGTTAAGAATTTTTTAACAACAATGTTTCAAAGAGGAGGGCGAAAGGTGTATAACCAGCCAATACCTTAATTTTTACGACGTTGCTACCAGGATATAGATGACAATGTTTGAAAATCCGTAACAAAAGTATTTTCTTTCGCTGTTAGTTTTTTTTATTGTGAGCACTTTTGTTTAGTTTACGAGACCTTAATAATTTTGAGGTATAGATACGTTGTTTAATTGTTTTATAAGATGCATTGTTAGTTTGAATTTAGATTCAACACATGTTTTTATATAAACTCTATAATAGCTTACATGTGGATGGGATAGAAAGGACCAACTGAACATTCACTCTGGCAAAGGTGTAAAAAATGAAAAATAGTAAATTGTAATGTAAATTCCGTTAAAAAAGAAATCTTACAAGAAATAAATTGAATTAATAGTTATTCCAACTCTGCTCTTATGAATATTTCTGACGAAATTCCAGATCAAGGTTATATACGGTGTGATCTTTGTAAAAAACGTACGCATAAAATTTATATTTTACATTAATTGAATAATATAGCTTTTATTTCGTAAAATTCCTTAAAAATTAATAATAAGATTAATAATAATTGTTTGCGAAAATAGTACAAAACACACTTCTGTAATTAAGATTTAACTGGGAATTTTACTGAACATAGTTCGATATTTGTTTATTTGATACCTGTTATAAGTTATGATGTAGTTCATTTGGTTTAGACAATGTAATTACTTAAAGTCAAAAAAGCTCTATGAGATTAAATTATTATATTATTATGTATCATATTTACAAACTGAAAAAAAAAATATTCCTATAGTCTAGTACCTAAAACATAGGTTTCTCATGTTTCATGTTAAATGTAATTGATTATACTACAGCTAAAAATTATTTTTTAAAAGTTGTCACAAGGTATTATAGAAATTGTGCAGCTAACTATACTATAGCTAATGACGAAACACGTAATCGTATATATAAACTAGGTTAACTGTTGAACACTCTTTTTCCATGTAATTTTGACTTAAATTACGGACTATAAACACGAAGAAAATCGTATTTCCTTCACCAGCTAATCTATCTATAAATATTAATACATTAGCTAAAGAAAAAATTGTAAAAAGCGCTTTACTAAATACGAATACACGTAAAACGATTCGCTCATTAAATAAAGGATTTTGAAATATGCTCGAAGGTCCTAAAGAAAAGCCTTCATATTGCCTTCACGTTCTGAAAATGCAATAAACACAGTTTCAAAATAGAATGATAAATAAATATAGAGAAAAATTCTATTTATTTTAGAACCTACAGCAAATGTCATAATAAAATCATGAAATCTCGGTGTAGAGCACAAAGAAAAAGTTTATGTTGATTTTATAAACAGTGTGTTATGTGTAAATCTATTTCAATATTCTTCAAGGGGCGTTGTTAGTGTGTAATTTTTACTAGTCACGGTTTATTTTATGCCATTATGTAGCAGTGTAACTTAATGATAGGCTTTTCTTGGAACATTGAAAGCTTTAGATCGCAGACGAGATTAACTCTAGCTTAGCTATTTCTATGAAAAATATACTAAATGAAAATATCATACATCATTAAGGAAATAAGTAGATCATGAAATTATATATGTATTTGGTGGTAAAACTAGAGTATGGCATCGTGCCTTAAGGCAAGTAATTTTTTTTAACTTTGAAAAAATTAGATTTTGAAAATTTAGAATTAAAAAAAATAACTTTTTTGAAAAATTTGAAACTTTTTTTTTATTTTGAATTTTCTTGAAAATTTAAAATTTGTTTTAAAGTTAGTCTAACGGTTAAACATTGTAATTCCTTGGTGCGAAACCCGTGGAAATATAAACACAATTATTAAAATCTCTATAAAAATATCTGATAATTTGATGTGCACATGCCCAATAATAAGGTGATCATACGTCCCGAATTGGCCGGGACAGTCCCGATTTTCCGCCTTGTCCCGGATTTTTAAAAATGTTTTGATTGCCAATATATTTTTAAATATAATTCAACTATGAAATTTGAATCGAAAAAATGTTCATACATTTTTTTAACTCACCAACAGTCAACACCCCCCTCCCCCCCCTTCCCCGTTCTCACACACATTCTAATCTGTCCCGGATTTCAAAAAAATATATATGGTCACCTTACCAATAATCATTTTTGACCGCCAAATGGCGTTTATTAACTTCCCGTGGGGTAAGTTATTGTAATGGGCCGAAAATCGGAATTGAAAATTTTTACATTTCTCGACGTTTTGGAGGTTTCTGAACATTTTGGCATACCTCAGAAAAAATGGATGTGTGTGTGTGTGTATGTGTGTGTGTGTATGTATGTGTGATCTCCAAAACCTTCCCAAAAATTTAATCAGTTCTCCATTTCGTCAATACAAGTAAAATGCTCTTTAAGTCATTCAAATCCGATTTTCCATTTCTTTTCTAGAATTTCTATTTCTAGTTCAACAGACATGCGAAAACGTGATTATATTATTAATATTGCTTTATTTATTAATTAAAATTAAATTTATTTCAGTATGGTGACATCTGAACCCCACGTTACGATAGCTGAGGTTGAGCGCCAAGAAGTAGGCAATAAAGGAAGACAAGGCACCAAAAGTAGTCGATTTGATCCCGAAGCAATAGTACAAGCCATGAAGGATCACTACTTGTTAGTTATTAAAGTTGTGCTTTTGGTAAGTACTGAATAATATTAATATAACAATTTTTCGTGATAATACGAGATATAAATACATAATGGTAGAGAATTTCGAACAAGAAGTAATATTAAATTTATATTTGCGTTCTGCGAACTTTCATACCATTCCAGAAAGTATAACATACTCTTTATAACCGCGAGCGTAAATATAAAAAAAATATGTAGTCCTTGGTAACTTTCCTACACGTTGGATTAACGAAGGGTCTTTACCACGATTGTGTATAAACAATTTATACGATTAGGAATATGGACGAGTTACACATTTTCAAAAAAAAGTGCATGCCAACATTCTAAAGAGCCGTTCAAGATTTTACTTGAAGAACAATTCTTATAAAAAAAGAAACAAGTTCAATTGCACATATCATTATAATGACGGCAAAGAAAAACTTTTATTTAATGTAAAACTACATTGTATTATTTCCTTTATACATCATTAAATTATTTCATCATGAATTATCACTAATACAAATTTAATTTAATTGTTATTAGTTCCCATTGTTTTGCTAAGGGGACTAATGCTTTAATTGATTGTTCGTGCTTCTATGTACCGAATTTCAAAAGAAAATAAAATCGATAATTAATGATTAATTTATCTAAATTTAATTAAAGAAAAAAATATCTTTTGTTCATTGTACAAGGACTTTGTTGTACAAACTACTACAATTTAATTAGAAGCAATAAAGAAGTTTCAAAATATCGGCCGGCAACTTATTGTTAGTAAGTAGATTTTATTATCATAGACTAAAGAAGTAGAAAAAAGTTAATAATTTACCAACCGATTCAAATCGATTATGTGGCTCTTATAGCCACAGAATCGTACATCATATGGGCAATAATCATTCTTTCAGATCATTTAATTGAAACTCAATAGTCATTTAAGGTAAAAAGAGCCAGGAAATGACAGCAATTATAAGATTTGAATTATTATATTAAGAAGAATTACTAGATCGGAGATTTTGTTGTTTTTTTAATTTTTTTCTAATTTATAGCCATTTGGCCCTCAATTTTGACTTTAGATTCGTGCTCAGCGGTACAAACTACATTGGAAAACATATGCCGCACACCCAATATAGACAACATTTCTTGTGGACCTGTGTAATTAATCGTTCATTTATTTATTTATTTATTAAAATAGCAATCAAGATACAATTTAATCTTATAAGCTATTGTGACATAAAGGAGAGGAATCAAAAGAAAGAAAGAAAAATAATAATAATAATAATAGAAGAAAAAAATTATTATCTAGAGTTCACTCCAATGAGTGAAGTCTAGTGTTTCATTTAAGAATTAATCGTAGTTACGTATATTTTCTTTTGTCCACAATGCCCTTTCTTATTATTTGATTTTGATTGTATATAAAAAATAAATTATTAAATACATACAGCTTTGTTATACCACAAAGTCATGGAAGAAATTGTTGAAAATATTAACCACGAATAGAAAATATTTGATCTAATAATACTATCATCGCTGAATTAAAAGTACATATCACAATTATATTATATATATAGATATTTGTGTGCTCAAGAATTGTATAGCTTTTATGAACGTATTTAAATTTTAGGGGTTGTCCATCATATGCGTGGGCCTACTCGATGATCCCGTTCATCAAGGCAATTTTCCTCCGGTATCAACACGCTACGTGGCCCTGGCGTACTCGACGTACAGCAGCTACATTATTATTTTAGGCGCTCTTCTCTTAGGCAGAGGCTTAGGTGAACGCTTCCCATGGAGGACTTGGTCTATTTTGGCAATTACCGGTAAGATTCATTTTACAATATTATATATATTATATATAATTTTGACATAAGTTGGTCATTGCCAAAATTATTAACGAAAGCTTTGGAAAATTTAAGGATTATAAGAGTTTTAATGTAATTTTTGATAGTTACTTTTCAAATCGAAGAGATACAAAGATATTATGCTCATCCTAATTAGTTATAAATGTGGTTATCAATAGGAAATTATTTTTCAGTCACTTATCCATGCTCGCGTTCAAATAAACTTTTTACCATGTCAACGTTAAATAAACGACATAATTGTTGTATAATACTGAATGAATCAAACAAAACTTTGAAATTCAGTTTCAAAATGTTTATATAATAGAAATAAGAAATATGAGATAAGGTCCTCAAAGGTGTTCCCAATGAGATGCATTTCGATTAAGATTTACTAATATATCTTCGTTTCTTATTAAACATATTGAATCTGAATATATGTGAAGATCGTCGCCCAAATATAAGCACTTATATTATATTAGACCTATAAAATACGGATTATGAAATTTACAGTATTTGTAATATTGATTTAAAAATATTGAAAACAATTATTCTTAAGCAATAACCAATTTTATTCCTCGAATGTTTAATTACGGTACGGGAAGTTCGAGCAATTTGCCTTAAGCACAATGCCATGCGCCACTAATTTGAGTCATAGATAATTGGATACAGAGAAAATATGTTTATACTAATTAATTTATAAATGTTATTAATTATAAATTATAAAATGTTAGAAATAAATGGATTTTCCACAAGGAATTATTTGTCAGTCACAATAAAATAGAGAATTAAAAGTCATTAGGGTTGATTAATCACGTGAGGCTTAAAGGAGCTTGAGAAAAAAATTCGCAAATATCACTTGGGGAAGGGTCTAGTTAAGATATCACGTGTATTTATTTTTTACCTCAAGTTGAAAAACATAAAAAAATCGAAATTTTACGATTTTTCTAACAATAAGTACTCAGACACACGTGATGCATGATAGGAAGGAAGGTAATTTTAAATAACCACGTATCAAGGAAGAGGGGGGGGGGGGTCAAAAATCCTAAGAAATCACGTTAATAGACAGCCCCTTATTAACTTCCCGTAGGGTAAGTTATAGTAATCGCAAAAAAATCGAAATTGAAAATTTTTATATAATTTTATGTTTCAAAGGTTTTTGAACATTTTGAAATACCTTAGAAAAAATGAATTTATGTGTGGATATGTATGAGTGTGTGTGTGTGTGTGCGGATACAAAATTTTTTCGACGATTTCGGGAACACCGTTCAACCGATTTGAATAATTTAAAAAAACATTCGATTCGTATAGATAATGAGGCGTGCTGATTAGTTTTTGGCGAAGGCAGGTCTAGCCGTTCCGTAGATACGGGACAAAAAGTGCCGAAAAGGTACCTCAGTTTTTAAGAGAACGAAGCGTCCGATTTTAAACATTCAAAAAACATTTTACTTGCATTGACAAGATGAAAAACTGATTAAATTTTTGGGAAGGCAGGTCCAGCGGTTATGGACTCTCAATAAAAATAAGTTAAAAAATGTCATTTGGGGATCAAAAGTGTTAATTGGACATATTACATCAAATTATCAGATATTTTATAGGAATTTTCATAATGTGTACATATTTTGTGTAATTTTTTTTGGGTTCCGTACCAAGACTTTTAATTATGGTACGGAAAGTTCCAGCAATTTGCCTTAAGGCACGATGCCATGCACCCCACTAGTTTATAGTTCTTATCGACAGAAAATTGCAATTATCATATCAATATTTTTCAGGTGCTGCCTTATTCATCGCTGTAGCCGCTGTTCTACTAGTAGACTGGTCAAACCTGACCTACAATCCGATCTGGCACCCTAACACCCATCGCCTGGACCTGTTATGCGCGTCAGGCGCTTTGGCCGTACCCACAGCTGCCCTTTTCATTTTGGACGCCGTGCTGACTTGCAGACGCGGCCAAGTGTCGGATGACTGATGTCCGTACTGTTGCGTACGCGGACCGAGCGTTTACACATGCAGTTAAACGAAATATTGGGAATGTATCACATGTTACACGCTGAATGCAAAATCTTAAATGAGACTATTAGTTTTTTCTTTTTTTTTTAAACTGTAACGTTGAATTTAGTACACATATAAAAGTAAAATAATTATGTTAAATATCAAGCAGAAAGTATAAAGAATTAAACAGCATCTCACAACTTATGTTAATTGAATTTGGACGCTGTGAGATAAATGATCAAAATAGATAATAAAAAAATATATTGCTTGTATCTTGATAATTTTAGTGGAAATTTTGCATTCATAGTTTAACATGTGAGCGTTAACTAATAATGATACCCGCGGTGTTGAAATATATTTTTAAATGATATACGTATTTTTTTCAATGTTCCGCATATTCGTGTCTGTCTGTCACCTCTATTATTTCTATCTTATATAATTAAACAATATATATATATATATATATATATATATATATATGTATATATGTATACGCACAGCTTCATTAGATCGCATATATTGTTATATATTAAGATATGTCTAATATAAGCTCATTGAACATAATTGATTATAAATCACACTTACTTTACTATATGAAAAATCTCGAAAAACATATGTTATTACTATAAATATTTGATCATAATATATTTGAAAACAATACAATTAGTTGCAATGATACGGTTCTAATTGTAAGTCATAAATATATAAGATATATATTTATACTATAGTCATAAATTTAAAAATTCGTATCGCAAATAATTTGATTATATAATGTAAATATTTATTATTGATACAAATGCACTTAAAAGCTTTGAATGTGCCTTAAAATTTATATTTAAATGTCAAAAAATGTAAAATCAACTCTAATGTTGAAGTAAAATACTGCAAAATTAATAATAAACCAAATAAATAGAAGAACGCTTAAAAACCAAAGAGGATGTTGATCCAAATTTTGTTATAAATATATTTACAAAAATCAATGTGTTATATTTTATCGTTAGTACAAACTCCATATAAGTAAAATTATTAATTTTAACAATATACAATATGTTATTGTTATTACACAGAAAACATTACACCTTCTCTATTTTGTGATCTACTCAATCAATTTATAATTCGTTGACATAGACATCGGCTTCCAAGCTAACTAATTATTATACATTTTATATCTATTATTAGTTATATAGATAAAATTGTTGATGTCACATCAGAGCACTTTAAATGTTCATAGAATTCAATGTGAGCCATGATATGTATCCTATATAATATTTTAATAAAACATAATAAAAACATTTAATAAATATTATTATTACAAAATTATCGGCGAAGACTAAATAATAAAAAATGTACATTTAAATAAATGAGGTAAAAAGATTATTTGAAAAAAGTCGCTTTTGTGTATTTAGAAGAAGTACAAAATTTTTTGCAGATATCTAGACTGGATAAACGCAACTGTCAATTTTTGTTAACACTAAACCTACCAAAGCCGGTCAAATTGACCGTTTTAAACTTTGCATATAACTTTTAGACATATTCAAACGTTAAAATACCATTGTCAAACTATATGACAATTCGTGTTATTTTTTCACCCTTTGTATGTTATTTTTTCTATTTTCCGAAAAAAGATTGTAATCTGGCCTAACTACCGCGGTCGGTCAATTTGACCGGTGTAAAATAATGCAATTTGGAGAGTTGTTTCCATCGAAATGTAGGTGCAGTTCTATGCAAAATATACCAAATGAACCAGACAAATTCAGAATAAAGTTCTGGATGGTGTGTGAAGTCTTTAGTAAATATATAATAAATGGGTTTCCCTATTTGAAAAATGACAAGAGGAAAGATTGTTCAATTCTTCAACTGGATAGTTCGCCGTTTTAAAACTGATAAAATTTCATTACTCTCACAGTGTATAAAATAGGAAAAGAAATAGAAATAGGAAAAAACAGCAAAAGTATTAGTACATAGTTTAGTAAAAATGTGGCAGCCCAGGTGGCTAAGAAATGTAACAAGAAGCGAAAATTTGTAGGTGGCAACTTTATAAATGTATCATATCAACATTTTGATCCTAGTTGAATAAATGCGTAAATTGTTTATGGAGAGACGATGAATGAAAACATTTTTAAGCACGTACTTTTGTTTTAGTTTATTTTTTATTTTGGCGATGCATAATCAAATCGAAAATTAAATTTTTATCAACACTGTCCATCAGTTTGGCTTTGTGTGGTCAAAAAAACTATTCAAATAAAATTTTGCGAAAGTTATTACAACAAATATATTTGCGTCAAATGTACATTTCAGACTAAAATAATTAATAAACAATTTGAGAAAGCCGAATAAAGTATTATGTATGCATATGGCATTCTGTATATATATTTAATTTTAGTTGTTTTTTTCTTACAATTTTTTAAATTATATAAAAAAAAATTAGATAATACTTTATATTTTTTATTTTATATACGCTAAACAATAAATCAATTAAATCAATCAAATAATAAAAATAGATAACTTTTTAATAGTATACATGAATGGTAGGTTTAGTGTTAATAATTACCACAGCTAAACTATAAATAAAAGATCATAATACGATAAATATAAAAAATGCAGGACATTTTAAACATTTTTCTCTTATCCGCGCTTGAGCATTATAACCACTAAGTTACTATAATAAAAAATAAGCAAAACGACCATTCTATGACGTTTCAATTAAAAACAAAAAAACAGAACTCACAAATATCATGTTTAGAAATGACAGTACTAAAAGAGAGAACTGGAAATTTAGATTGACGAAAACAAAAAAGTAAATCAAATTTCAAGTATATAAACACCAATAAATCATAAATATTTTAAACGTTTTAAACGTTGAATAGACATTATTCAAATAAATCAATTAACCAAACGCTGATATTGATTTGACATTAACTCGAATGAAACAAAAGAGCAATTTATGTCAACGAATTATTTTGGTTAGCAAAAACGCTATAATAATGGAAAACTATGCTGGTGAGACATTGTCGCCATATATTAAAAGATAGCTAAAAAATTTAAGTGCAAAAATAATAAATGATGCCAGGAATTGAAAACCCAGGCAATCTGCAAAGAACGAACTCTTCTAGAGGCCAGAAAGCGAATGGGACAGTAGGAAATTCTACAACTGTGAGGTTCCTTGAATTAGTAAGTGATAAAATAAAATGACTTATGTATCAGATCAGTAGCGATCATCACTAAACGCCGGTCAAAATGGCCGCTTCAAACTTATCAAACTTTCAATTCCAGTTCTTATAATATACCAATAAAATTTTCTTCACTCTTCGATTTTAGTTATTTTTCCTATTCTCCGATAAAAAATTATTATGTCGCTTAACTTTCGCCGTCGGTCAATTTGACCGGTGGATAATATTGTTATTTGGGGAGTTGCTTCCTTCAAATGTAGGTGCAGATTTATGAAAAATATACCAAATAAACCATACAAATTTAGAATAAAGTTCTGGGCGGAGTGTGATGTCAGTAGTAAATATATAATAAGTGGGATTCCATATTTGGGAAATGACAAATGTCCCAATTCCTTCAATATCCAAATTCTTCAATTGGATAGTTCATTGTTCTAAAATTAAAAAATTCAATCACAAATTTTGAAGAAATTTGTATGAATCAAATTTTATTACTCTCGTGGTGTATAAAAGTACACCGAAAAGTGCTTGCTCCTAGTTTCAAACATTATCCGATAAAAATAGGAAAAGCCAGCAAAAGTCTTCCGAAAACTATTAGAATTTGTATTAGTACATTGTTTGTTGAAAATGTGGTACACCAGATGGCTAAGAAAAAAAAACATGAAGTCGAAACTTTGTAGTTGGCAACTTTAAGTATATTTCAACATTTTGATAAATGCGTAAATTGTGTATAAAGAGACGACGAGTAAAAGACGACATTAGGTATGAATTTTTATTTTAAGTTTTTAATCCGACGATGCATATTCAAAATCTCAAGAAATTCCAGTTTTTATCAACACTGCCCGGCTTTGTGTGGATGAAAAACTTATCAAATTGTTTTTTTTGTTAAAGTTACAACTATATTTGCTTCAAATGTACATTTCAGAGTAAAATAATTTGCAAACTAGTGGGGCGCATGGCATCGTGCCTTAAGGCAAATTGCTGGAACTGCCCGTACCAAAAAAAATTACTCTGAAAAAATTAGATTTTTGAGAAACTATACATTTTTGACAAAAATTTACTTTTTTGAAAAAAAAGACTTTGAAGAAAAATTTATTTTAAAATATTTTAGAAATTCTGAACTTTTTTTCAAAGCAATCGTACTGCTTTAACTGCATAGAGACGAAATATCAGAGCGCGTAAGCGCCGCGTCGCCATCTAACGGATAAATATTGGTACGGAAACCATAGGAATGCAAACAAAATTTATACTTATTGTTAAAATCTCTATAAAATATCTGATAATTTGATGTGCATATGTCTAATGATCATTTTTGACCGGCAAATAGTATTTTTTTACTTTTTTTACTATATCTCCGAAACCGATAGACCTGCCTTCATGAAAGTTTGATCAGTTCTTCATCTTGTTAATACAAGTAAAATGTTTTTTGAATTATTCAAATCGGACGCTCCGTTCTCTTAAAAACTGAGTTACCATTTTTGGCACTTTTTGTCCCGTATCTTCGAAACGGCTAGACCTGCCTTCGCCAAAAACTAATCAGCACGTCTCCTTATCAATACGAATCGAATTCTTTTTGAATTATTTTAATCGCTTCATCCGTGTTACCGAAATCGTCGACAAAAATTTGTATCCGCACACACACACACACACACACACACACACATTTTTTCTAAGGTATGCCAAAATGTTCAGAAGGTTTTGAAACGTAAAGATATATAAACATTTTCATTTTCGATTTTTTGCGATTACTATAACTTGCCCTACGGGAAGTTAACAATGAGAGGAAGTCAAATAAAGTATATTATTTCTGCATATGGCATTCTGTATGAATGTTCAATTTTGTAATTAGTAGGTATAAATAAACAAGAATTGCCAGTATATATATATATATATATATATATATATATATATATATATATATTAAGTTATGGATTACATAAAATAAGCTATGCTTCTTCCGGACTACAATACAATAGTAAATGGGCACCGATCTTTGAAACACTTCATATCCGTATTGCAACTGCATTACAATTTCGCAGTCGGCCTAATTCGATAACATCGAGGTTATATGTCAGGAATATCAGCAAAATAGATCTAAGAATATGCACACTTATCACTGGCAATTTGCTTATTGTTTAATTGAGTAAATAAATTATAGTGTTGAGTGAGGGCAATGTAAATAATATCCTAGCGCAGCCAATTAGATGTATGCATTAGGAAATTATTTTGTAATCGGTTAACATCTACAATAACCTAAAACGTCAACGAAAACTACGTCATCTGATCCACGGAGGATGAGAGATTGTACAATATTATTATTGATCAATCTAGAAGCAAAATTGTTAATAAAGTGAATATGTAATCTAAGTAATAGTTAAAGCAGTGGTTTCCAATCTTTACGTGCCCCCATTCGCCATTTTTTCTAAATGTTGCACCCCCTTAGTTGTTCCATTCCAATTTCATAAATACTAAACTGATACAATTTATTTAACGAGATATATATATATATATATATATATATATATATATTATGTATTTTTTTATTTTTTATTTATATAAATGAACATGAATGAATTTTTATTTTTAATTTATATGAATGAATTAATATTTTTCACATAATATTATGTATTATTATAATAATATATAATATGTAAAAAAAATATTAATACATTCATTTTTTTACAAAATGAACTCATAACTTTCCGAAGAATTTCTCTAATATTTTCATGATATTTAAATCATGTAAAAAATATTAAAAGTATCAACAAAAAAATGATTAACTTCGAAAATTATGTGTTATTATTTATTCGTTTTATATACAAATCTTTTCATACCTACATCTTCCGAAAATATTTTTCGAATATTTTTCATATAAGCTTGTGATTATGATAAAGTTATACTTTTTTGTTGTGTTAGGATTACAGAAAAATTCTTTGCATGGTGTTGCAATAATTATTCCATACGATTCTTAAATTTCGGCTTAAAACTTTTGAAACATCAGAAACTCAACAGAAACGGGAAGATTCTCTATAGAATACTATAGATTCTCTATGTACAGAACCCACACTAATTA